ACATTACATTCCCCTCTTTTATATACCAGCCTACCCTATATCTAGTAAGAACTAGAACATTCGCCAAAGTACATGATAGTTCTAGAAACGTTGCGTCACAGTAGTCATGTGACTCGATGACGCAACATATATATAAGAGCCCCCAGTGGCACAGCGGTACGTCTGCAGACTTACAACGCTAGAATCTGGGTTTCGATACCCGTGGTGGGCAGAGCACAGATAGCCCATTGTGTAGCTTTGTGCTTAATTACAAACAAACAAATATATATAAGAATACCGCATATCTAGTAACCTCTCGAGGCTTCAGGAAGGGACGTGAACGTTCGAGAATATGACGTGTTACTAGGTCACGTGACTCCCGCTGTCGTAACAATATTGAAGTTTCAATTTTCTTACAAAATCATGCAAACAATTATATTTGATGGTGTATTGAATCATTATTATGAATAAAACTCGGTGCAAAAACCTTTGCTATAATGATTCGATGTGTAATAGAAGTCTTTTCGCACAAAAATTCCATTGTTTAGGCCTAATTTTGATCTGCAATAAAAAAAAAATCCAAGTGAGTATTTGTGTTAATATTTCTTGCTGCTTTCAGATACCCATATGCATGTTTTAAGACCTAAACTTGGTTGTTATGGAAAATGTCCTGGTTGACCATATTTTGTGTCAAATACTATTGGATTAGAGTAGATGTCAGTGTTATCAAGGGGAGAGACACTGAGTTTCCAATGTCCGTGACCTCGATCAATTTTTCCTGGAGTGTTTAACTGCACAAATAATTAGTGGTGGTCACTTACATAATTTGCATGATATCTCTGGTGACGTAGAGCCTTGTTCAGTCTGAACCCCACCCACTACTAGTACTACTCCAGTACGTCATTCCAGGGTCAAACCCTTGTATGTGACGCCGAACATAATTTAAACAAAATTATCGATTACATGTTCAAGCCAGGTTACTGTTTCGACACTGTTAGTGCTGCCGTTAATTTTTATATGTTAACAGGTTTAGAACACAATTGCAATCTCCACGTATGATAGTATCGTAGGTGAAGAATAAGTAGTTTTCCAAAACCCGGAAGAACTTGTCTTCTTAGTATGTCCTTCTCATTGGCGTAAACACTGACTAAACTGATTTTCCTTTTATTTAATTCTATGTCAAACGAGCATAGACGTTCGTACTCGTCGTGCCTGAATCATCAGTAAATGATTTGATTTCACCTGTAAGTGTAACTGTAAATTTTCATGTAAGTTGTAACTGCTTTATTTGGATGGCTAAGACTCCAGTAAGATTTATAACTAAATTATTTTATTAAAGTTTTTAAAATTTTCTTGACTCAGGAAATGGGTATTTGGGAGCAATAAAAAATATCATGTATATTTATGAAGTGTAAATGCGAGTGATGGTAAGCAGTGGTACACGTACAGGTACTGAGGTAGCGCTTTTCAACAGTACACTACAGTGAGTCATGTGTATTCAACACTGAATTAAATTACAACATACGTTTATTTGTCAACGGCAGCAATGTTTATTTAAAAGCATTTAAAATAGTGTAATTCTAATCTATATACATTTTAATTAGACACTAGACCTGTGGAATTTGTAAATGTATTTGGTGTCACAAGTTGTGAGACTAGGTTCACGGTGTAAACTGTAACTTGTAAGTGTAATACTTGAGTTTAATAGTATTTCTATTCGTATTAGTATACGTAACTAATTAAGAGTCTGTTAGACGAAAAGGCAAGTTTTGTTTTTCGTATAATTATTTTATTTAGTTGGTTAACAAGGATATTTAGAAATTAATTACTTGTGGCGTGTCCAGAAGGTAGAACTAGTAAACAATAGAAGTGCAACTTGACATTTGTCAGATTTTTCAAGGTAATAAACAAAAAAAGCAACAAGTAAAACAGGGTATCATCACTTTTTCAATGAAACTTCATATGCAGTCTACTTGTATTGTTTTTTAAAACCATACACATGGACCAAAAATTTAGTGTGTGAATGCGAAATTGCAGTTGTGATTATATAAAGCTCACATATAATATTTGATGTAAACAAATGTAAGTTACAGCATTAAGTAACTAATACAGTGTTTTCGAAAACTGATTGATTACTTACCAGCCTCAAAGGTAGGATGTATACAGTGTCTTTATTCACAGGTACATAATTGCTAATTTAAATAATTTAGCAACTATTAAATTATAAGTATCTACCAAGTAATAATGAAAACAATAATTCCAACTTCTAGGATAAGTAGATTATTCTTTTTACTTAAATACATGTCAAGGATTGTTATAGTTCCATATTTCAATCTTAAATTTAATAACTTTACAGACTAGTAGTAAATACAGGGATATTAGTGTGAAGTTTATCTACAGTTTAGTTTAAATTTTGAAAATTTGACTTAAAATTGTTAAATGGGTAGATTGGTATTACTAAGAGTGAAAAAAAAGACTAATAAAATTCAGTATGGATAGAGTTTGTTTGCATAACATAATGGGACAGGACAGCAAGGGTCCATTTGGCTCATTACGCATTATGGCTGTTTGTATTAGGAACTCTTGCCCAACTGCCTATGTCCAGCAACTATTTTGTAAGTATTCATCAAGCCTTCTCTTGAACTCTCCCAATCCTTTTGTGTCTACCCTGTCTAAAGATAATGAATCCCAAAAAATGACCACCCTGTTAAAAAAATCAAACTAATTTGCATATGGCCTATACTCTATTAAATTTAACCAATGTCCCTAGACCTACCACTTATCTTCAGACACAAAAAAATTGATGCATCAGTCCTATCTGTACCATATATCATTTTGAAAACCTCAATCAGATTCTCTCTAACTGTTTTTTGCTTCAAAGAAGGGTCACAATATGTTGGAGGCAAGATTTCCTTCATATGAATATATGTTTTTTATCCAAGAAAACTTTAGACTTTGTAAGAGAAGTGTTAAATTCTAGACTAGACAGTAGTGAGGGCCAGGATAAACTAAATGCAGAAAAAAATATGATGTGAATAAAAGTTTGGCATAGGAAAAAGGTATAGAAGTAGTTATAAGGATAGGCTTAATTGTTGCTATTGTAATGCTAGAAGTATAAGTAATAGATGACTTTAGAGCACTGGTAGGAATGGAAGATTTTGATAGAATGGTTACATAGAATGAAACATGGTTAAATGTAGACAATTTTTATGACATAACTTCCTTTGAAATACAGGGTTTTAGGTTATTTAATAGGGATAGAATACTAAAGAGAGGGAGAAGAGTGGCTTTGAATGTAAAATGTGAATAACATCCTGTTGAAGTTGAAGATATCAAAGATAATACCAAGGAGATTGAATCTATTTGTGTTTCTGTTAGCAGATATAAAGGAAAAGGGAATTTGTTACAGAATGATACTATGAAATTATTGAGAAACTTTACTATGAGATTAAGATTTCAGCTGTTATTGAGGTGATAACTATGGATGATTTTAGTTTCAGGCATGGGGATTGGGAAATGTTAGAGTCAAATGATGAGGGAGAAAGGTTTTTGGAAAACCAATTTTTTTTTCACCAATTGTTCAAGAAACCTACCAGGAACAATGCTATTTTAGATTTATTGTTAAATTCTAATATAGAAATAATTGAGAGGGTGGAAATTGGAGAACATCTGGATGCAAATGATCATTGCTCTATCAGGTTCAATGTTTTGCTGCATATGGAGATAAGGAATAATGATATTTTGTTTAAAAATTTCGAAAAACAAATTTTGAAAGGATGAGACAAAGATTATTTGTTGTGAATTGGGCAGCTTAGTTATTTGGAAACACTGATTAGATATGGAAATTTTTTTCAAGGTAAATTTTTAAATATTCAAGGTAAACATATTCATTATAGATGGAAAAGGGTAGCAGCGAGTAAAAACCAGGTTGTTTCACAAGGAGTTGAAGATATAAGTTTAAAGAAAAGCATCATAAATTTTAGAAATTTAAATTGAATGGTATGACAGGAGATGTAGAAGATTATAGAAGTTCAGGAAAGTTGGTGAAACAGGAAATTAGGACATCAAAATAGATCTATGAGAAAAGGTTGGCTGAAAATGTAAAAATTAACAGTAAGGATTTCTTTAAATATATTAAAGGTAAACAAAATGTTAGGATGGGGTAGGACCCTTGACGGATGATAATGGAAGGCTAGTATTTTATGATTATGAGATAGCAGCGTTATTAAATTTTGCTTTTTCATCAGATTTTACTAATGAAGATGTAAGCAGTATTCCACATCTTGATTAGTTGATAAATGAAAACAAGATAAAAAAAAATGACTGCATTAATTCTGAGCTGGTTAAGAAAAGTTTAAAAAATGAAAAGGCTGCTGGGCCTGGTTAAAGATTGGATATGTGAGCCACTTGCTACTGTTTTTTGTTAGTCCTTGAATAGTGGTCAGGTACCAGAGGATTGGAAGTTAACTAATGTAACTCCTCTTTTTCCAGGGAGGTGATAAAAATTGTCTCAGTAATTATAGACCAATTAGCCTTACATAAGATGGGAAAAGTTTTGGAAAGTCTGTTAAAAGATGCTTTGGAATGTCATTTAACAAAGTTTATTAGTTTATTGGATAGTCAACATGGTTTCACTGAGGGAAAAATCTTGCCTTACAAATTTTTTGAGATTATTTGAAAAGGTTATTGCTTATGTTGATGAAGGTAAGAGTGTAGATTTGGTATGTCTGGATTTTCAGAAAGCATTTGACAAGGTGCCACATAAAAGGATTGTAAAAAATTATCTCTATTGGTGTGTGTGTGGGGGGGATAAGTTAGCAAATTTGATAGAAGAGTGGCTGGATGGAAGAAAGCAGAGGTTTGTAGCAAATGAAGTTCAGTTAAACTTGATTAATGTCACAATTGGGGTTTCTCTGGGCTCAGTCTTAGGACCTCTGCTCTTTTTGATTTACATCAATAATATAGATGAAGGAATGGTCAATAAATTTGCAGATAATATTAAGGTCTTGGGTGTTGCTAGCTGTGAAGAGGATGCTGCTGATTTACAAAAGGATTTAGATCATTTAGTGAGTTGGGCAAATAAATGGCACATGAGTTATTATAATTTGATTTATAAGTATAATTTGGATGGGAATAACCTTAACAATGTTATGAATGAAAGGGATCTTGGTGTAATAGTCAATCAGTCTCTAAAGCCATCCAAACAGAGTGGTGTTGCTAGTGGTAGAGCATCTAGGATTTTAGGTTGTATCTGCAGAAACATTGAATACAAGTCTAAAGAGGTTATAATATCATTGTATAGGACACTGGTTAAGCCACATTTGGAATATTGTGTTCAGTCTTGGGCTTCTAACCTTAGGAAATACATTGAATTGATGGATAGGGTTCAGAGAAGGGTTACTAGAATGGTGCCTGGGATGGAGGGGTTGTCATATGAGGAGAGGCTGAAATCTCTCAACTTGTTTTCTCTTGAAAAAGGAAGAGTTAAGAGGGATCTGATTGAGGTGTTTAAGATTGTAAAGGGAATTAATAGTGTTGATGCATCATTTTTTTCCATATTTAACAGTGAGAACAGTAGGACTAGGGGACACGGATATATATTTTGGCAAGGTAGGAGTCACCTTCAGCTAAGACAGTTTTATTTTTCTAATAGGGTGGTTGGCCTTGGGAATGCATTGCCTTCGGATGTTTTGTATTTTTTATGAATTTAAAATTTTATTCTTTAGCAGATGATCAAAGTCTGAAAGTATAACTAGTATGGAGTCTTCTAAAATTGCCAAATTAAATAGCCCAGCTCTGGAGGAGTATGAACTGCTTGGAGATCCAAAGTATCGATCTTATGTTTCAGCTGTGGATAAAGCATTGAAGAATTTTGAATATACAAGTGAATGGGCAGATCTAATATCTGCTCTTGGCAAGTTAAATAAGGTAAATTTTAGATTATTTTTTCTCTCTTTCTGAAATTTTAAACTGTAGCTGGAAAATTTGTTCAGGTTAAGAAAAACCTTTGAGGTATGTGTAGGTAGTGTGTCACCTTTGGAAAGTTAGTCTTTGTGGGGTTTCCTTATATATATTTACAAAAATTGATTATAACTGTTTGATAAGGATAACATACAAGTATTGATGTAGATGTACTGATAACTTATGAAATAACAATAATACTAATAATACTATCTGGATTCTTGGGGCTATAGGAAGATTACAGTTTTAAGTGTTTAAATTGTATTTCAAACTCAAAACAATATTGGTAGTTGAGTGTTCATTCAGAATGGTAAGTTTTATTATATAAATGATGATAATTAGATACTTTTTATTACTTTGAATAAGGTACATAAAAGTTTACAAAAATAAAACATTTGCTTTGTTCATTTTTACAGTAGTAAGATTTTAAATTAAATAAAGGAGTAATTATTTGAGCTATTTCATTATACAAAAAATTCACATTTCATTTTACTTTTTTTAACCAAATGTGCACAGGGTTGGTTCAACTTTGAACCAACCCTTAATTGGAGAGGGATTACTATGAATCTGAATTTATTATATGTATCTACACAAAATGTGACAAGCTTTCATTCAAATCTATAAGTCTGTTAAAGTGCTGGCCTGCTGTTAAAAATGGGGTTTTGGTGGTTACCTGTTGCACTGTCTTACAGTGGTGCAATCCCACCAAGCTTTTATCCCCCCCCCCTTTTATTCTAGTGGAGCATGGGAGTCCTTGTTACTTACCAGTTCTTAGTCGATGGGGTGGTGGAACTTGGAGGATGCCCCTTTTGTGTGACCAATTGTGCTTAGTAGAGCATGTGGCAGTGGTGTTCTGTCTGTGTAGTACAGCTCTCCCCTCTGGTGAGCTTTCCCCCTTTCTAACAATACCAAGAATTTGTGTTCCTGAGTGATCTGATGTTGGATTAGTACAGGACCAGCCAACATAAGTCTGCATTTTCTTGCATGGCAGATGTTACTTTTCAGTTCTGCTTCACTGAGTTTGAGGTGAAGATGGTAGGGATGCTCCTCATACTACAGATTGGAAATAGAATTCCTATTGCCACCTGGTATTGGATTGGAGTTAACCTACCACATATGGTTGGACATACACTAGTTATACTACACATATAGCACTTGCAAAAGCCAGATTCAAGTTTTAGACTGTGTTTGTATTTTCTGTTAATCCTTGCGACCCTTTTTTTTCCTTTCAAGGCAATATGTGTACCCTAGTACAGATGAGGTGTGGTCTCCCACGAGTGTGCCGCTATTCTTTTCCAAGATAAAGGGTGTCACATTCCATAGGTTCTCCCCGGTAGTTTCCTGAAGGGGGCTCACCGAGGCAAAATTTCCCACCTGTCTCTTCTCCACTTTGACCTAGGATTCTAGCTAGATAGGAGCAGAGGTTACTTATTGTGTCGGAAGTTAACATTTTCCTACACTGAAAATATTTTTCTGATAGATTCTCACCCCTTTCACACTTCCCAACATTCTTTTTCACTTTGGATGCATTTTACTTTGTTGCCCAATCTCAAAGTGATGATTGAGCAATCACTATAGTGGGAGCCAGCTGTGTTAAGAGGCATTGTGATACTCCTAATGGTGAAGGATTGTCACATGCTAATTTGCATGCAATAACATGTGAAAACGTGAGATTAGAAAGGAACCTCAAGATTATTGGCAAGTGAAAAAGGTCACATATAGAGGGCATCACTGAATTGGAAAAGCAAGATGTGAGAGAGGTGAGTATCTATTGGAAATACATTTTCAATGTAGGAAAAATGCTAAGTTTAGCACTTTAGCCTTTAGGCCTTTTGCATCAAGGTGTGTGGTGTAATAAAACTATTTTTCCTCACTATGTTTGTTGTCCCAAAATATTTAATATAACTTTGAAGTGTGCATTTTAGAACTAAAAATATATCGGGCACTAGAATGTAATGTATCTAAACTTCTATAACTTATCAGGCTTTCTAACTAACCTCTATATTAGTTAAGCAATTTCCTTACTGCTCAGTGTAGTTTGAACATATTAAGCTCTTCCCATGAAATATTGGCTTCTACAAGTAAAACAAATAAGACAGTCAGCTGTTTATGTAATTTACAATATACTTTTTCCATTGGTTATAAATATGTCCAATATCATTGTGAGATAGAATTTTAGTTCTTTCTTAAAGCTCGGAGGATAAGCAAGGGGCATGTAAATGTGAGTTGAACAAATATAGTGATATCTCAGTAAAGCAAGAAAATAAGAAGTTGAAATTTTTTATCCTGGCTTGTTAATATCTCCAGTTATGAGTGTAGCAAACAGGAAAGGAGGTACCTATTCCTCATCAGAATAAAAGTTTGAAGAACTGGACAAAATCATTCACAAGTGAGGCAGGCATCACAGAAGGCAATGAAACTTGATGATGAGGGACCTAAACTGGAGAAGTAGGAGGCAGAAGGTAACTAACCACCTAATGCATGATAGCAGTTACATTATGGTTGAAAAATATCATCAGTGAACACACTATCATTGTTCACTACAACTTTATAAGATTGATGGAAGTTAAAAATTCCACGGTATTTATAGTACTCACCACATAGTGAAACCCGAGACCTGTTATATGCCAGGCATTTGCTCTACTGGGTGAGTTAAAGGGATGACCACTGAATGTCAGCTTCATGAACAGATAAGGTGCCTCTGGTCACTGTTGATTCAGTTGTATAGATTGCCTGAAGAGGAGTGTCTGGACCTTGGGATGTTTTTTTATGCTTTCTTTGTTTTAAGGAGCACAAGAAATTTGTTGGTTAGAGAGTTACAATGAGGTGGATGCTCATTGTGGTTGTGTTGTCCTCCTGTTGGTGCAGGGTTACTGCATTATAATGATCATGTCATAGCAGTGCTCCAGATAGCTAGCAAATCCATTTAAAATATGCATCATTTTTCAAGAGATATTTGTCACTTTTTATTTTACATCTATCAGTTATAGGTGTACTATCACTGATATGCTACAATATGAATTGGTGTGCCTATTGTTTGCATGGTCAAAATGGCTATTTTTTTTCCTAGACATTTATATCATCTTAAAAAGAAAGCAAACCACAACTAGGAGTGATAGATTGTGATTATGAACATATTGATAGCAATGCATTGATGGTAAAATTTAGAATAAATAATAATCACTAATAGTACCCTCAACTATTGATGTTTTCAATAGTTTGCAAACTTGATTGTTTTCCTCATTCTGTATATTTTATTTAAACTGTTTCTCAGTAATTACCATTTGCTTTATACTGGTTTTACGGTTCCTATTCACCTGTAAGCCTAAAAGCATGTGTATCACATCCACCATTAGCAATGTTGCTCTCACAACGGACTGAGCCCATATTGGAATATTGAGGATTACAGTAATTATGAATTTGCTATGTGTATCTTCAAGAAAATGAGCAATATTTTAGTAAATGTGAAAAGTATGTTGTATACAGAAAATATCAGATTCTTTAAATAAAGTATTTGTGTGAAATCTGAATTTCATAATGGGGATAACTTATACTTATTTTCATTTTAAAGTTTTCATATTTTATTTGCATAATCTCTAGAACTTCCTAAATGAACATCAAAATATTTCTTCTGTAACATTGCATATTTTACATGTAGCTGCTTCTACACAAACAATGTACTTAATCCCGGGGTCATTAGAGACATCATTCAAGTATAGTCAAATGAATGGTTGAAAAAGCATGAAATAAATTGACTTCAATTTTGTGCACCTACACTGGCCCCTCCACCTTTGCAATGTGGGATTCTAGCTTTGTGTGAGAGTTGAAATTTTTCTTACATTGAAAATGTATTGCCAATAGATACTTACCTCCTCCCATCCATTCTCCCCACTGCAGGTGTTCTTCTTTTGGAGCTTGCAAATTCTTGAAAGTGAGGATTGAGTGGAAATAGGAGAGTGAGCTAGCTGCACCAATATAGGTGGTGCAGTACTATTGGTGGATACTAGTCACATGATATGTACATGTTCAGAAATGGTGTGAAATCAATGGGGTATATAGACTTGTGCACTGATCACAAAAAAAGATCAAGATAGTTTTGTGTAAGCAGAAGTAGGTACCTGTTGGAAATACATTTTCAGTGTAAGATAAATGTTAAGTTTTGGCAGATACCGATAGAGGCAAAATTTGATCAGTACTATACTGCTCATGGCAAAAATGATCTTAATCACTGTCATAGGCTGGTACAAAACAGGTAGACATGTGAAGTGATGGGAGTTCTTCAAGGCTTGTGGCATCCCAGTGGTTATCAGTTTAAGGATTTTTTGGGGTTGTCTAGAGAAAAACCTAGGGATATTCTGAAGCATTTTCCTTCAAAGAATTGAGTTGTCCTGGCTTCAGGGCAATGATATCAGGAGCAATCATCATGCGACAACCCTCTACCGATAGGAGTGCAACACACCCTCCTGATGCATGTGACTCTCTCCATTTGATTGTACCGAACTATCACTTCTCGTTAGGCAGTGATCTAGTGCAGACACTTTTTGATTGTACTCTCTTCATGTGTTTATCAAATATTTTACTACAGTATATTTCTGTAATTTGTCATGGTAACTTACATTTGTTTTTGTTCTTTTTGTTAATTCTTCACCATTTATGATGAATTCCGAAGTTTGTATTACTACTTCAGATGTTCTTCCACCTACTTCCAGCACAATTACACAGGCTTCAAGACTTCGATTTTGGAATTTTCAGCTTTAATTTGTTGGGAGATTGATTGTTATGTTAGTTGACCTTCTTCTCCCAATATTGCTTGACTTCATTGTGAATCTGCTGTTCGTGATGAAGAGGATTTTGACAGCCTTTTTTCCTCTACCTAACTATGCAGTGCCTTCCCAAGCCCCTCCTGTGGAATCTGCTAGGCCTAACTATGCCTGAGGTGTGTTCCATTTTATCCATTTCCCCCTGAT